ACAAGATAATTGGCCTTTGGAAATTACTTGGAAAGATGCAAGTAGAGTTTGCGTATATTAAACTACAATAATTTCTAAATAACCAAAGTATCCAATGTTACCTTTTACTTGACAAGTATCGACTAATGTTTAATCATTTTATTAAATTGATTATGACAAGATAATTGGACTTTGGAAATTACTTGTAAAGATGCAAGTAGAGTTTGCGCATAGTAAACTACAATAATTTCTAAATAACCAAAGTATCCAATGTTACCTTTTACTTGACAAGTATCGACTAATGATTAATCGTTTTAATAAATTGATTATGACAAGATAATTGGCCTTTGGAAATTACTTGGAAATATGCAAGTAGAGTTTGCGTACATTAAAATACAATAATTTCTAAATGACCAAAGTATCCAATGTTACCTTATACTTGACAAGTATCGAGTAATGTGTAATCATTTTAATAAATTGATTATGACAAGATTAATTAATTAATCAATTAATTTAGAAACAATTTGCATCATAAAATTAAAATGTACAAGACGAGTATAAATTATAATCTATATTATTTAGAATAAAAAATTTAATTTTTACAAATTTCTTTTGATGAAAACTGAAATTTGCATTTGGAATCGCATTTCAAATTGTGATTATGTGAACAACATTTGCGGTACGATTCGAACGTAATTAACGCTTCGAAAGCAAAGGCGAAATAAAACTTAATTAGAACACAATTAAAGTTTTGCAAAATTTCTGCTCGTTTCCTTAAGCGCGAAACTCTCCCCCCCCCAAAACTCTAGTTCGAGGCAACTTCATCGAATCGACGGTAAACTTGTTTTAACGATTATCACGTTACCTAATCCTCCCTCGACGTTAACTTAAACGTAAACGACGACAAACCGGAAATAAACTGACGTGCATTTAAGTAACAGTTTAAGCGGAGAACTCTTGCGCTTTAATCGATACAAGAACACTGTTTAATGGGAAACTTACTTATACAGAGTTTGTATCTACGGACTAGATTAATGTAGCTTTAACATAGAAATATTATGACATTAGTAGCAAAAAGTTAACTGAATCTATTACAAAAGAACATAACCTTACTTAACCTAACCTAACTTAAACAATGATTTTTTAATTAAACGTTTTATTAACATGAAATTCATTGACTTTTGGAAAATCTTACTATAATTATTGAATGTTTAATTAATTTAACCTATTTTTAGAAAAAAAAAAACAGAACCTTACAAAACCTAACCTATCTTAATTCAAAGTATATTATCATAACCTTATTTTATGAATGTATTAAGTTATTAATTATTAATTTAAAATTGATTTTCAATGTATAAAATTTGAGAGATTTATCTATTAAATTTAACATTTCATGTTAAAGTTAACTTTAATTACAGTTAAGTGAGATGTTAAATTATCGTTTAAATAATGTGTGTGTTGTCAGGTATGAAATGAAGATAGGCGTGAGGCGCGATTCGGTGGTTGCAATTAATTTGGAACCGCGAGGCGAACGTTGGTTAGAAAATTAATGAATTTCAGATAATCAGATTTAGTGCAATAATGAGGACGACGTGAGAAGGTCTAAATCACGGATCGGTCCAGAGGCCAAGGCCGATCCGAACTGCACCATTTGTACAAGTGTATAATGGAGTGGACGCATTCCTCCATCCATCCTGGCAACCATCCAACCTTATTTAATGAATTCAAAAGGAAAATGTACACATGCACAACACATCCAAAACCCAGAAGTTGTTATAACTTCTTCGTTCCATCTAAACCGCAATTCCTTTTACGCGAGATTAATTCTCGTCATCATTTGGAAAAAAATGTATTACATATATTTTTCTTAATACATACATTTGATTAAATAATCTGCATCACCAAATTAATTTCATATAATTTGTATAAAATAATAAATAAGTTCAAATTAGTTGAGATTTACTGAATAATCTTAAGAAACGCTCAAAACTAAAACCAATTTCTGATTTTGTTGGCCGCCTACTTCGCTTTTCATCTTGGTCATAGTAGTACTGAAGAATGTATCGAATTTTCTCTTTTTTACCAACATTTTGGAACGCTCTTACACACAACTGAATTCACTAAACACAAAACTGCTGAAAAACGCTCAAAACTTTGTAATTCGCCAGTAATTAGGAAAATGTATTAGACTTACAATTGAATTATTCGAATATTTGCAAAGAATATTTTTCAATTATGAATAATCTATGTACAATAATAATTAAGATTTAAAATTTAGCGATTTTTTTAAGAATTTTAAATCAATTTATAGAATTTATTTCAATTTTAATTTGAACTCTTAATAAGAGTGAATTTGTCAATAATTCGGACAAAAAATACATACATTTTTGTTATATGATCGATTTGAATAATTTGCATTTTCTTGTAGTACTTTTTGGGACAATGTTGTTGATGATGCGTGTGGGTGGTTGGACCAGTTACAGTTTTATATTCTGCTGGGAATATGGGAGCAGACAACAGGGGACGTACACAAATCATCGTTCCCCCTCTACCATCCTCTCATCCCTATATACTCGGTGGCGCATTTTTACGTCCGTTTTTTGTTTTTTTCGTATGTGTAAAGAATATGCACGATACGTGTGTAACATATGTCTTCCCCCTAAATTTTATTAAACCATACTTTGTATGCTCATCAAATGCACACTTCCATACGAAACACGCATTCGTAACAGAATATTTGCGCAAAAACCTCAGAAACATAAACAACGAGTGGAAGTGGAACGAGAGAAAAAGTAATAATGAAATATCATATTTAATAAGCGTATTTCCAGCGTTCCGCATTTAACAAACTACAAACATCTAATTTCGTATAGAATGCAGCCACTGCAGCATTTCTGCATAAAACAAAT